ATATCATTGTCTTCGAATACAATTGAAAGATAATGATCTGTGCAAATAAATGTAGATTAGGTTTGTATTGATTGTATTACATATTGAATAGCTAATGGCAAAATATGAAATTAGTTTCTTACTTTTGTTTTTTATTTAATTATATTTTCTCCTTTTTTTTATTATTATTTAAGATTTAATATTCTCAATGATGCACAGGGTAATGTCTTCGTCTTGTTACTTGACGGAGTATCGCACTAGTGAATTCATTGAATACAATATAAATAGAAGAAATATTTTTTTTTAAGAAAAGTGGTCTTTTCTTTGATGGTATTGTTGTTGGATAATCTAATGTTTTTCTTGTTGTTGAAAATTATCCATATCATTGTTGTTCATTGTTGATTCATCTAAAGATCGTTTCCAGAATTTACGAGGTGGTGCACGTTTCCAAAATCGTGATTTAGCTGCACGTACATTTAGAAAATGAGTTGGATAATAAGAATCAAATTGATTCCAATCACTATTAGCAGTTGCATAATCATCGTTATCTAATGAAGAACTTGATGAAAGTGTAATGCCAATTAAAGCAATAAATAAACATAAAATAGTATTAATCAATGTCATACGCATGATGACTATAAAATTTAAATAAGATCTTTAATATAGTATTCAAAAAAGAAAGAACAATTCTTACTTGAGTATTTGAAGAAAGATAAATGAAAAGATTGAGAGTCGATTGCTGAAAAATGCGTCGAATGATGACGATGATGATAATGGAAAGAGAAAGGAAAAGACTTCGATATGAATATCTCTCAACTTTTTTCTTTCTGTGACTAATTGATGGCGGATTTTCTTTTTCTCTCTTCTTCTTTTTTTTTCGTTGCTTTTTTTGTCTCTCTCCAATCACGTATGTTGAAAAAGAGCTCTCTAGTTTTTCTATGTATCGAATGTCAAGTATAATATAATGATGTACACATCTATTCATAATTTGTTTATTTTATCTCTAATCGATACAATCATTTTTCTCTTTTTAAACATGAATACTGATTTTTAATCCGTAAAAAAACAACAATACTCAGTATTTATTCGTAGTGTTCTCGTTTTTTTTCGATTTAATCAATTTCCGGATGAATAATAATATTTATATGTCGATTGTGCGAAAGAGAGAACGAGCTTATAAACATCGGTATGCATAACATGTATGTCCCACGCACGATCTCTATGTATTGGTTAATGGTTGTTATTGAAATAATGCCAACAAGAGAGTGAGAGAGAAAAACGCAAAGGTTGCGAGTCCAAAACGGAAACTGAAGAGCATTAATTATTTTACATCAAACGACATAAAAATCGGACATATTTCTTTTTAAGATCATATTTTTCCGGTCTTTTTCGATTGAAAGAAACACAAAAGAAATAACTCATGAAAATATTATCTCAACAATTCTTTCTATATAAATAGCAAAATATACAACTATTCTTCACATATCTAAGTACATAAATTGACAATAGTTATTTTTAGTTGAAACATCTATTTTTTAAAAATGGGATTAGTCTATTTTCATATTTGTTTTACAGGTAAACAAATAGATGTTCACAAGTATAGTAAGAGTGTTACCTACACATACTTTTCCAATTTATATTTAGAATAAACTTGGAGAAGATTTTATTAGCTCAATATCGATATAATTATAACTCAATATGAATATTAATCTAACATGCATCGATGAATAATCTAAAGAAAAGAAAGATTCTAACGGAAATTTAACTAATCATATTTTATTCCTATTCGAAATTTTTTAATAAGAAAATAATTATTTTATATAGTATAATACATATGTGTGTTTTATTTTTTTTTAATAATTATCAGAATCTTTTTATTTATCGGAATCTTTGATTTATCATGTTTCATATTAATAAATTAAACAAACGTCATTTTACGTTACTAACGAATGATATTTATGGAGTTTTCTTTGAATTGTAAGTCATGCTTCAAGTACAAAAATTAAATAATAATAAGATTTCTTTGATGTAAATTGAAAACGTGAACTAATGGTGTTGTTTAGAAATAGTTTTCAATGTTTTTGAAAAAAAAAGAAGATATGTCACGCATAAAATAATTTTTATTCATTCAAATAACTATTTCGTGATCACTATTTTTAATTCGGATTATATGATGTGTGTTTGATGATGTATTTCTAATGACTATAGTCTTTTGTACAAATTTATAATACTTTCAGCTAGATTAGTTCTTCATTGAATTTTCCTTTTCATAAACATTTCTATATAATACACTCAAATAAATCTTATACGCCAGACAGTCTATAGTATAGATTCTATACTATAATTAGAGTTGTTCGTATATTGAGAATATTAAACAATGGCATAAAATGTTTTGTTAGATTCTTTTAAAATATACTAGTTGAAACAGTTTGATATCTTACGAAATCTGACATATTTGATTAGATATCTGTCGTTGTTCAACTAACACAGAAATTTTACTATCATGAAAACATATTAAATCTTGAATCAAGGTTTCAAGAGTTAAATGAGCTATAGTCTTATTTCCGTCAGGAATAACATAGGATATATAATCGACAAAAGCTGTTATCAAGCAAATCGTTCCGTCAAAACAAAAAGAAGATGAGAATATTTATGTGAATCAAAAAGGCAAAAGAACAACTCATCGATACCACAAGTAGAGTAGAACAATTATTTAATGAATATATATTTATATTCTTAAATCATGAATGAAAAATTTGCTGTTATTGATCAGCAATATAAGTACTCATGTTAGCAAATGTTCGCGTAATTAACTGTTAAGAAACACATATAAATTGACATCTTACGGTATAGATGAATCTTTTCGAATGCGTTTAGAATTTTCAGTGATTGACTATGAATTAAAAGCGTGTATTATAAAACGACAAGTTGTACTCAATTATTGTAAAGGAAAATAAAATATAGATCTACTTCCTATACCGAGCGATCTGTAAAATAGTATCAAAACACAAGTTTCTAATTAATATATGGAACAACAACAATAATTGATAGCTATTTACTTTGGAAGAATACTATGCTATTTCCACTCTTTTGATATGTCATTCAGGAAGCAAATATTTAGTCTAAGACAATAATTAACAAGTTATTTGAAGCGTAAACTAGCTGATTGAAACCTTGACTAAAACGAATAATGACACACTGTATATAAAGACTTCGGACTAGTTAATTCAAGAGAAACAAGCCTAGTAATAGTAAAGCAATTAGATGTTTTCGGTTTAAATTATCACGATTTTCTCTTGTGTTGATTGTTTTAACGAAGATAGATCATACTCTATAATACAGGATCTAGAAAGTTATAATCATGACATAGCAAATGACATAGCAAATGACATATTGTTATCATTTCCTGCTTCAAAAAAAGAGAGAAATATCGAGAGAGTTGGTCACCTCGAATGTGTTATCTGTATGATTAGAAAAAGGGGCATTTTGCATTGCTTAAAAACATATTCATTATTATTTTATTGATTTTACAGTTATGTCAAATAATCGAAACTTTGTCAATTAAAATAGATTTGAAAACTAGACACTTTTTACGTGTTATATATTCTTTACTTAACTTTTTTTTCTTGACTAACGAATTACGATTAGGATTATGTAGAGATTTTACAACGCGTGTTCTGCCATACTAATCAGATGACAAATTTCGAAAAGAAAGTGTGATATGCTCAAAAAACTAATAGATTGGTTATTTATTCATGTTCCGATAGAAACAAAAATTTATTAATTGGAAAGTATAATTATTACTCATACGTATATTGTGTTAGATAATATCTTGCATATCTTCATTCTATTATTATAATCACTCACTTGAGAAAATTATTGTCGATATATAACGACAAAAATTGGTGTTATAACATCGCTGTAAATCGTAATCTTAGAAAATGATAGTCAATCGAGTACTTAACTATAAACTTGTATGGTGCATAAATATCGATTTATTTTCTTGAATGACTGGTTGCAACAAAATCCATTGAAAACTTATACATAAATATAAATATATAGACTTAAAGATAGTTGAGAAAGAATTAACTGAAGAATAGATTTTTTATAGTGAATGCTTCTTATATTCATCGCTAACTAAATATATTCTTCTTCTTCATAGATAGATAGATAAAGAAAGTATTGTTACTTAATTATATCATTTAACTGAACAATGAACCAATAACTTCTCACAAATGAGCAATTTGCTACAGTAACAAAACCCATTTTTGATGGAAAGTATGCAAAATAATTCATTTATTTTGATTTTATCTGTCTCCATAGATTTTCATGTTATTACTTTTTTATTGCCAATTATCTTATACCGTACAATATATCACAACCTGTATGAAAGATCTTTCAAAATCATATATTTCATCATAGGGTTATATAGTTTGATAAAATCTATTATGTTTTTATGTCTATATTTCACCTTTTGTAAATATGCGTAAAATATTATTTAAATTCCATTATAAGTAAACTTTTGCAGTATTTTTAGCACTACATTTCCATAAAAAGAAATTTAGGAAATAGTAAAAGTGCAATCCATTCTACGCCATCCATTATTTCTGATTTCATGTTGAATTTTAATTACGTTATTTATTTAAATAAGAAAAAGAAGTAATACTTGACATTAATTCATTCTATTTTTTTCTGCTTTTGTTAATAACAAGTAGATATTTTCTTTATTGAAATTCTCCTATCGTTCTCTTGTATTTACTAATAATGATATTTTTTAAATCTTTACTATTTAAATGTTTTCAACAAGAATATTTAATCAAAATAATATAATCTGAAGGTTTTTTGATTATATTAAGATTCCCGGAAAGTAAAATTAAGCATAATAATATCTACTTTTCAACTAGATATTAACAAAAAGAAAACGACCTTGTGAAGATGATTTTAATTTTGTTCATAAAATAAAAGTGAAAATTACCCCTTTTTTTTGATTACTTGTCATATATCCTTTTGAAAAACAAATGTTTAAATTTTTGAAAGTTTCTATAGTCTAATTAAATTTCCTAACAAATTTTAACAATTCTTTTCTTTTTTCTCTCCTTCTAGAAAAAGAAAAACTGATTGACATAAATCAAATAATGTATTTAAAGAAAAAAAAGACCGATCAAACAAATAAAAATATTCTAGAAGATTTACTCAATTAATAATTCTATTGCATGTCAAAGAGAAAAAAGTTATTTTAAATTAATGATAATTCATTATTAGTAAAGAAATTAGTCAAATTGCTGTTTTTTTCAATACCTATTCCAAAATTTGTTTTGATAATTAAAAATAATTTTAATTTAATGTTATTATAATTATTATTATTATAATTATTTCTCCGTCTGTCTTTGTCTTCGAAAACTGAACAGTACTCCAGCAGTAATGAGCGCAGAAAGCAAATGCAAAAGAAACAAAGAAAGAAAAAAAACGAGACAATGACAGTGACGAAAAAAAAATGAGAAGAAAAGAATGAATAGCAAATAAAAGTGGAAAGAAAAAAAAATTCTCACAAATACACAATTTTTTTTTATAGTTATGATGATAGAACAATAAAAAGATTTTAGCTTATTTGAAGATTCGATCAAGTTTTTTTCTATCGATTTTTTCCTTGTTGAAAGAAAAAAAAGAAAATCTCCTTCTCTCTCTTTCTCTTGCTATGTCTTATGCACATACACCGGGGTATCTGCTCGTAGCCTGATTATTTTTAAATTGAGAAAAAAGAAAAAAGAAAAAAATTTGATGGAATTGTAAGAGAAGAAAAAACTTGAGGAATGAATGATAAATATCACAAGAAAGAGAAGGAGAAAGAAAAAAAAATAAAGTTAAACAGCAAACATTTGTGGGACATATAGATCCGAATCATTTAAAGATGTCGATAGATCATCAAGACCAACAAGACCATTATTGCCACTGCTACCATTTATAGATGACGATGGATCGGCTGTTGTTCCAGATGAATCACTAGTACCATTTGGTGCATACATAGTCGCATAAAGACGACGCTAAAAATTAAAAAATAAAAGTTTACTTATTAAAATATTGTTTTGAAAATAAAATAAAAGTTTCTCACTTTTTTTGTTTCATTCTCCATTACTTCATATGGATCTGTATACAAATCACAATGTAAATCATTATGATTTGGTAAAAGTCCACCAAGATTAATATTCGAATTTGAATTACCACCACCGGTTGTATATATATGATGTAAATCTAAATGTCCATGATGTATATGATGATGAAGTTCACTATGTGGTATCGGTAACGGTTGAGCTAATGAATGATGTTGTTGTTGTTGTTGTTGTTGTTGTTGCAAAAGATGATGATTAACATTCATTTGCTGCTGCTGCTGTTGCTGTTGCTGTTGAGAAGGATCTATATAAGGTAATTCGATCAGTCCATTTTTACCTTTATTCGTTGTTACTAATGTACGTCGTACAATGGGTCGTAATTTATACAAAGGTGGTTCAGGTGTATTTGCCGTGATACATTTTGGACATAGCCATGTTTCCGGTATATCATCACTAAATACACCTTCACTTGTAGACGTATCTGGATGGGCACTCTAATATAAAATAACATGATATTTATATAAGAAAAAGAATAATTCAAAATTAAAATATACTTTATAACATACATGAAAACATGGTAAATGATGTATTTCCATGCAACGTTCACATTCATATAGGATTTCTTCTGGTTTTAGTTGTGATAATTTTCGTGAACCTTTCTTTTTTGAACATATTTGACAAGAAGCTGTTGATGGTAATATTGGCGCAATACATTGTTTTGTTAAACAGCATTGTTTCATTTTACCAACACCACCAAATTTTGGCATATCTTTACAATGTACACATTCAGAACAATCATCACGACAACATGGTTCACATTGCTTACAACTATTTAAAATGTATTTTTTTTATAATATAGAAATACGAATGCAAAAAAACAAATAAAATCATACCGAACACGTTTATGTCGATCTTTTGCAGTAGATGTTTTATCAGTACTTGTCGGATAATGTTGTTGTGTGGGTGTTGGAGGTGATGTTGCTGTACTATATTGATTATTTCCATTTGTATGATGATAATTGATAACATAATGTTGTTGCTGTTGTTGTTGTTGTTGTTGCTGCTGTGCTGCATAATAGTTAGCTAAATTCGATTGTGTTTGTTGTTGTTGTTGTTGAGATGAATTTGAACCAGCTAATGGTCCACTTAAAAGGATAGTTGCAGATGGATGTAGTGTAACAACATTTGTAGTTGTCTGTTGTTGCATTGTTAATGTATCATATTGATGATGATGAGAAGGATGATGTGACGATTGTTGTTGAGTATGAGGATGCTGCTGCTGATGCTGATGATGATGATGGAATGACGAATGATGTTGCTGTTGCATATCGTCACTACCCGTACTGCTCTTACGTTTTATGCCTCGTAAAGTCTCCGTTATTGTTGTTCGTTCGTTCTGAAACATATGATACATCTTATGTCACAAACTACGATCAACAACTAGAATGATACGTGCGTACACAAGTCGAGTCAACATGACTTTTGTAATAGTTTATTTAGAGCTCCGACTCTATGTACATGTGTCGTCTATATCTTAATGAACCTGTTGTCTTTGTCTATGTCTATTGTCTTAGCTTACCTGACAGTGATTTGTATCGATGGAGAGTTGTTGATTATAGTTATAATGAATTATTGTTTGACCAGTTATTGCTAATAAATGATCGTTTGAAGCATGATCAATAAGAAAATGCTAAAAGAGAATATATTTAAGATTGCATCATATTTGTTCTGATACAAGGTTAAGAAAAAGAAGAAAAATGTGAGGTCAAATGACCAAAAATGTATGTGTGTATTTATGGACAAACATAAAATTTTTTTGCGTGTAAATATCTTCTCATAGTAAGTATATGGAGACATTCTCATACTTTTTTTTCCTTTTGCAATAAGATACTCGTTCTTTTTTTTCATTAGGTTTCTTTCAAAATTACTTAAACAGAACAAAAATATAAGTTAATCATGAAGCTGTCAGGAAACCTTAAAGTAAAATTTTTCGCCTTATTTGTCTAGAAAATTTTTTTAAGAAATTGATGCATGTAAATGAATAGAAAAAGAACGACAGATATAAACAACGATATAGTAGTATTAACAGAACTTATTCAATAATAGATATTATCTCAAGACAAACATTTATTCATTGTATCTATCTTTAACATAAGAGAGCGACCTTTTCCAAAATGAAATTTCCATGAAAAAACTTATTCGTATTGTTATATCTCAAGAATCAATTAACAAAATTGATAGTATTCAAAAGATAAATGAAGAGAAACAGAAAGCATTCTTTTTAGTTCAATTTACCTCCATTGTATTCGTAAGCTGTTGTGTCTGTACAAGTTCTTCCGGGATCGATTTGTCTTTCAATTTGCGTTAAAGTGTACATAATTTTACTAGTTCGTTCAATTTAAATTGAGTCAAATATTGATATTGTTATTCTTGTTACTGCTATTCACTGTCTTTGTTATTATTATTATTATTATTGTTGTTGTTGTTCACCACCAACAATCGACTTGTTCGACAAGGTTTCAGATCTAAAGACACAGCAATCGATCGCGCGCAACATATAGAGAATGAGACAAAGGGGCTTCCTTTTTGCTGCTCATCATTTGAACAAAATAACAATGGACCTCTCAAAGAGACGGAGGAGGAGGAGAAGAAGGATGGTGGCAAGTAATAAGAGAGCATATTAAAGAGAAGAGACATAACATGATGTTTTTCAAGAGAGACAAAAAGAGAACTTGATTGAGCGACATATTTCTACCTGTATACGCTAATCGATTGCAATTATATATATATATATATACGTATGAAGAGAAAGAAGAGAAGGAAAAAAAGAAAAACAGAGAAAAGATTTTGTAAGAACCTAAAATTCGAGAATATCAGGACAACCCATAGCATTGATAGAAATAAATAGGAGCAACGAACAAGAATAAGAGAGAAAAAGAAGGGAAAACGACGACTGTGTGTGTGTGTGTGTGTATGTGCGAACAACGAGTTTTTCCCTTTTTCGCCCCTATGCGTTCATTCATAAAAGATTTGAGTAATTTGCACACAGATTTCTTTTCTTCTTCTACTCTCTCTCTCTCTCTCTCTCCTTTCTTTGAGTGATCAGAAGACAGCAATAGCAGAGAAAAGGGAAGGAAAATTTTGAACAAAGAACAAGGCGCAAGCGCGCGTCGTGCGTAGCGAGAACATATTATTATGATTGTGTGTGTGTGATTGCACAAGCGAGAGAAAGTGATTGACGAGTGAGAACAGAGGGAGAGAGAGAGAGAGGGAACAACGAGGACGCCGAATGATCAGGTTGTGGATGGCGGTAGTGCGCATTAATTATTCTCTTCTTCTTCTTCTTCTTTCTTCCTTCTTTCTTTTTTAGTTTTTTTTTGTCATTTCAAACAAGAATTTGAAATTGATGGTCTTATGTGCGTATGTGTTTCCAAGTGCAACCCGTACCCCCTCTTCAAATTCATAATGAATATGTGTGGTTGTCCAAGAAACAGAAAGATTTCATTTATTAATTAGCAAACATAAAATTTTCTTTCTTTTCAAACACATAAAGAAAAAATTAACAACAAAAATCAATGTTCTCATTCGCCTATTCTCTTTGCTTTCTTTCTTTTCTCTGGTAATGTTTGAGATTGTCAACATGAGATATAGACCAGACAAGTTATGACGACAAAGTGTTTGTGTATTTGAGCAATAAAATGAAAATAGGATAAGCTGAGAATCAAGAAGAAGAAAGAAGTTTTACAGATCAAAATGACAACAGCAAATGAAGACTAATAGAAAGATGATGATGATTATTGAACTTTTCCGTCTCAATCTTCTAACAAGAACATGTTTTAAGAGTCAAGTCAAGTAGTCAATCAAAATATGAACTGTTTTATTTCTTTCTCATTTTCTTTTCCTATTTCTCAATATAACTATATATTTATATGAATTTTTTATAGAATACTTTTATAAGAGTATATATATATATATATAAAAGTTTAAAAGAAAAAGAAAAACTAAAATCATATATAGAATAAAGATTGAATAAAAAAGTCATGATTCATTTTTATATTATCAGTAAAAGAAAACAAATGTCATATTTCGTTGTCGATTTTTTTTTCGGTTGAATGGCCGATATAAAAAAGAGAATGATATTAAGAAAGAACAAGAAGAAGAAGAAGAAAGTTCTTTCTTTTTTCCTTTCTTTTCGTACAACTGAATGACAATTGTTCACAAAGTTAATCGACACATTTTTTTATATTTAGTCAATGTAAGAAAAGAAAAATAGTAAATCCTTGGAAAGCTTCTTACCGAGTCTGACTCGTTCCCCGTTCACATTGATATGTATATATCAATAACTCTCAAATAATAGTTTTATAAATATCTATACATACATACATCTCTATATACTTGTTAACTTTAGTGAAAGATGATGATGGTGTTATTATCAACATAGCAAATCATTCAACATGCTGATGATGATGGTGAATGCTGACGACAACACGCCTTGCGCGCTATTCATTTGTCTCCTGGGACAATGTAAAACGCGTGCGTATGCAGGAGGCAATAACAGCAAAAAAATCATTATGATCACCATCTTCTTCCTTCTCTCCCTCTCTTCTCTTCTCCTTCGTTCTACACCCAAAGAGACTATTATCTGATTATCTTAAATACTTGCGCGCTCCTCAGCACAAAATACCAAGTGTTACCTCTAGAGTCTTCTTCTCTTTTTCAAGAGCAAGTCAACGAAAGAAGACGATTACAAATTGTTATTTCTTTCCCTCTCTCTGTCTCTGTGTCTCTATTGCTCTTATTTCTCTATGTTTGAAATAATGAGACAAATGCTCGATTGTCGTGCTTGAATATTCTTTGCCGAAAAGGTCAGCAAATGAAACAGAGTGAGTGAAAGATATAATGTCATAGTTCGTGTTATACAATTATCAATGATAACCTCAACATTGAGGTCAATATTTTGAATTGAATATATATATACAGATATAGTTTTGCACACAAAAACAGTCTTCATTTATTCTTCTATTCTTTTTCAAGTAGACAAAAGACATGGATACTTCCATGTTTGCTATAGCGTTGGGGCACACACATACAAATACATATTATATATATATAAAGAGGAAAAGAGAGGAAGAAGAGTAGATCCGCTCCGGAATAATTCGAAGAGGAAGACATCCAGAATCGATAATTGACATCATGAGACAGAAGAGAGAGAGAGAGAGAGAGAGAGAGAGGAAGAGGCATGCTTGACAAGAGGAGATGCGCGCTTTCGCACACTTGATGGAATCGATGAACGACAATGATGATGAATAAGAGAGCGTAGTTCAAGAAAGAGAGAGAGGGGGGAGAAAAGAAGAAGTCAGTTTCTTTTTCTTATTCTACTAGTACTACAACTCATATTCAACATAAATACATCTATTGATTATGCAAAAAGACAATTTCATTTAGAATTCACTTACTTCCTACTAATCTACTATCTTTGCATTAAATTTACTTCAAAACCTTTTGATCTATAACTACTACAAGTTCTGTTTTTTCTTTCAAGTCATCATTCTTACTTACTCATTTATATACATTTTACAAAGAAAAAAAAAGACCAATACCGGAAAAATTAGTAAAGGAAGTGCTATGAAAATCAAAGCGACGCTAATTTCGACTAAAACCCTCCTTGCTGCTGTCCTTATACAACTAACTTCTGTTATGCCTATATTTCATTTTCTTTTACTCTTTTTTTCTCGCTACAACAACAACACTTTCCGATTGACTTTTGTTCACAATACACAACAGATACAATTGACTCCATTCAAACATCATAAAAAAAAAAGAAAAGAGTGTGTACCTTTTTTTTTCTCTTTTAATCATTAGACTTAAGTTAGAAAAAATAACTTTCGAGACTAATGATAGCAATAGAGAGAAACAGAATAGAGTAGAGCGCCACTAATTCGATTATCTCGAATTGCAGTCATCGTTCGTCCTCAAATTAACATGTTTGATTTTTAACGATTAAGCAACATTCTCATAATTTTTCTCTATGAATATAAGAGATAGAATATGAGAGAGATCAAAGCAAAATAGACCGAAGTCAATGATAATAATGATGATGACGGTCGACGATCAAGTACTTGGCATAAGTAATTCTCACTCACACCCACTCATTCTTTAACTTAGTAGAACAAGAAGAAAAAAAATCTGTTCTACATCAATAATAGATACAGCATTAAAAGGCTTACTAACAACATCATTTTGTAAACGTATGCATATGTGTGCATGCAAACTAAGTAAAAAAAAAAGTCAAATTAAAATAGCCCATAAGAGGTAGTTGACGTCGTTACTATTGTTTGATGTCTTTATCTATTGATAATATTACTCAATAAAGTGAATGAAACGATTAAATTGAAAAAAGTAATCATAGTCTATCGGAAAAAACTCCTTAATCGTTTTCTCTTTTATCTTTATCTAAAGTATTGATTCCATTTTGTTCCTGTTTCTATTGTATATATATATTCTAAAGTAAAAGAAAGAAGAAAAAGAATTTATGTAATCAAAACAATTATATACGTTAATTAAAGAATTCAATTATTTAGCATAGATAATGCGATGGAATAGTCTATTGGAACAAGATGTTAAAGAACTTAGATCTGATAATATAGAGAACAAGCTTCTTTCCTTCTTTTCTTTTAATCTTGTTGATTATTTCTATCTCGATTAATACATATAGATTAGAAAATTTTAAATGTCTTTTGAAAATACGATCTTTCTTTTAGATTTAAGAAAAATTTTTACTTGCCTTATCTATAAAATAATAATTATTATTAGAAACAGAAAAAAAAGAACTTGCCTCTTGAGCAATTTTATAACAATTATTGAACCCTATAGCACATTATAATTATTTTGGGTTATTGTGTACCATATGTAGTCAAAATAGAATTCGTCTTCCAATTATCAATTATTTAAATGATTAGGAAAAGAGAGGGGATGTTATTACCATCCCACGCATATTATTCATTCCTTATTAAGCATATGGATGGAAATTATTTTCTTGTAATAGAATATTTTTAAAAAAGAAAAAGAAAAGAATTGTCTATGTTAAAGAAACTAAACTTTTATAAATGACATGACTATCTACAAGAGTGTAACAAATTGAAAGACACATGGGACGTAATAGAATTTTATTCAGGGAATTTGTCTATAAGACATCTTCTTTGCTTTTTTTGTCGATAGAAAACTATATTTTGAATATTAGGTATTTGATTATCAAATAAGAATAAATCATTTTTAAATAAAGTGTAGAATTTCTTGATTAT